TAATGTCTGTTCGTCCATTATAGAAACAATGCATACGTGCACCCCCTCTATTTCACGAGATTTACATTAATTTTCTCTATGGAAATGCAGGCGACGAGTCACGCCTGTTAAGCCGCGTAATCTATGAGAAAGAACCCTAGCTATGGAATCACTTATTGTGTGGTACGCAGAGAGTGCCATTATTTTTGTCGCTCTTTTTTGTGCGCACCACTTCTGCTTCTCCTCTCGGGCCGGGGCCGTTGGTACGAAAATTAATGCGCCGCTGATTGAGAGGCCTCGACGGGGATCTTGTTCTATCTTTCGCTCTTTCTTCATCAGCCATCATTGTTCGGCACGACTCGATAATTATTCCGGCAACAGTAGCTCCCTGCATTGCGGCTCTAGGCGCACTCGTTTGTCCCGACCGGGCGCATTTTTGCAAACTGATGTCACTGCCATCGACCGACAACGTGCTGATTGGCAAATCGTTCCGAGAAAGATCTGCGCTTCGTGCATTCAATTTTTGTTAGCAGCGAGTTGGTGCGATTAAAAATTTTGGGAATATCCTCTTGAGCCGGAACTAAATCCAGTTAATTGTGAGAAATATTTAAGCGGTCAATTAAATTTTGAATAAAATTAAATAATTAATCAGAGCTTTTTTTATTTAATATGATTAAGTGAAATTCTATTCATGGTCAGAGTGATGCCATTTTAATTTGTCTTTAGAATTTAACTTTGTTTTGAGAGAAAGTCTAGGAGAATAAAGGGAGTCCCGCAATAGGGCCGAAAAGAACAAGGCCGAAAACGGCTGAGCGGAACAAGGCCGAAAAGGAATAGGGCCGAAAGGAACAAGGCCGAAAGCTGAAAAATAACCGATAACCGCGAGCGCGTCTCAGCGAGAATCCTTTTGCACGCCAATACCAAAATCCTTGATGATGAGGCCGTTTCACATTGGAAAATAGATGAAAATTTAGAAATTGATTTTGCAATAGACATGGCCAAAAATCTCAATTTTAGGCGAGACACATAATCACAAAACAAGATAAAGATAAATTGATCTCTTGTTCAGTTGTTATATAAAACTTCTTAATCTTTTCCCATATAAGATCAATGTAAATTTTTTATGTCGACTGACGTATTGGTTTTATTTTTTCAATAATATCTTAATTGGGGTGATATAAACGTGAGTTAGTGAAACTTTTATCAATTAATTTTGTGAAAAAATACATTTTAGAAAATTACCATAGCAAGAAACTATGTTAAATTTAAAAAATTCCTCCCTATCACAAATTAAATATTTTAGATTATTCTTACTTTGACTTAAAAGTACGACGATAAAAAAATTTGTGTGTCCCGAGACGTCCCGTTTCTTGTAGGGATGGAGGGTTGACATAACACTGTAATCGCGGTGATTTCCTAAAAACCGGTTTTTCCTATTTTGTCTGCACCGGTATTTCGGCCTTGTTCCTTTTCGTCCCTATTCCTTTTCGGCCTTGTTCCGATCAGCCGTTTTCGGCCTTGTTCTTTTCGGCCCTATTCCGGCACTCCGAATAAAGATTTCTAATTAAAAGTAGAGGTTTGGGTGATTTAATTCCGTTTTTCTTCTTCTAATTGTTCAGTTAGAATTCATTTTATTCAAATTAAATGCTTTATTATTGTCTTTTTGATACATTTTAATGCTTTCTTAATAAAATATATTTTTGTAAATTTTAATGAAAAAATTGATAGCATAAAAGTTATTCTCTTAACAAATGTGAACGAGGAGAATAATCTGATTTAATTATTCACATAATCAAATTATTTCAATATTCCCTTAAAAATGAAAATTATTAATAACCAAATATGTTCGCAGCTTTATTTTATAAAAGCTAAATTAATTTGGAATTCAACTGATTATTTTTATCTTAAAAGGCACTATTGGAAATTTCTAAAAAGCAATTTTAATTTTAAACCTACTTTTTTAAAAGTTTTGGTAAATATCTTTGCAAAAGATAAAAAAAGTAATTAAATCAAATTAAAAAAAAACGTCAGATGTGCAAGTGAAAAAGATTCAGAGTTGGCAAAATTAGAAAAAAAAGATCGCGGATATAGCAATGAAATAATTAAATCAAGGGAACACACGTGTAGCGTCATTGCTACGCCAATTAAAGCATTTTGACATTAGTTGGCATTTTTCCGCAAATTATTTCATTCATCCGGCGAGGCTATACAGACGGTTTCTCGGTTAGTGAGTGAGAAAAAAAAATAATTAGCGACGCAATCTGCGAGTCACAATCGGACAGACGCATTTCGCAACGTCTTATTTGCAGAGATTCAGAGATGCACCTAGCTAGACCGGCAATTAAAGTTAGATTTATCAACGCGCGAATGGGGAGCCGCGCGCCGGTGTCATGTGCAGCTTTCCTTGAGAAAAGAGGCTCTGCGGCTGCAAAACGGCGGCAGATTTTATGATAGCAGAAAGCGATTAAAAGTAGCTTAAGACACAAAAAATCATTAGAAAATGTGTTGTAAAGTGGTTTCTGTTTTTCAAGGTTTATTCGGCGAGATGATATTATTTTTTCGAAAACGCCTGCCGTCTCGCGTATACAATAAACAGTCAGTATCGCGTGTAGTTAAGTATTTTATGGCTCGTCCGCGTTTTTAAGGGAGACATTGCCTATATAAATGGGGACCCAAATCGCTCGTTGATATTCCCAGATTACCTTGAGGCTCGCTCGGGTCGCGCCCAGCAAGTTCACCGAAATGCAGGCATGCAACCAGATGAGCAAAAAACACACAAACAAAATTTCAACGTTGCGAAAGTCGGGATTTTTTGCTTTCTTCTCGTTCATCAAATGACACAAAATATTCCACCCGAGGCTCTTCTTTGCACAAATGGCTTTCGGATATTATTATCTTTTTTCGTCGACTCGTTTCTTGCGGATATCATTTTGAATTATTTTTTTGTCGAATTCCTTTTGGACCGAGTTAAATAAGGTTTCATGTTGCTGCAATAAAAGAAGCGGTGCGTAATTAAGTGAAAATTTGCACGACGCTCTTCGTCTTTCGGGAAAAAGGCGGCGGTGCGATGAATTACATCTCAATTTTTCGCCGCTCATTTGAAATTCAATGTATAGCGGACGAATTGTTTTACAACGGCACGACGATTGCAAAAATCTCGAGCTCATTGCACTTTTGCCGCCGCCGCCGCCGCCGCCGCCGCCGAAACGAACCGCGTGGTCGTAAAGGGGTAATTATATCTAAATATATATATTTTTTTCCGAATCGCAAGCAGAGCGGTGTGTTTCGCTCGGAAAACACACACCGCACGACGCGAGACACGTTTGTAATTTTAATAGCCATAAATCAAGCCGTGTTTGGGTCGAAACGCACAATCGAACATGGCACTGCTCAAGAGCCGCGGGAATTAAGAAACGAGCGAGCAGACGGACAATGCCGAGCTTTTTGTTCTATGAATATTTAACATGTTGGCTTATTATTATTTGAGAGAAAAAGAGAGGCGGTATATTGGCCGCGTTCAAAGAGAATCTTCTTCTTCTTCTTCCCCAACTACTCCTTTTGCAAACAAGAAGAGAGGCCGCGATGAAAAACACCACGAAACGGACGAATCGGTCGACAAATATTATTGCGGTGCATTCGGGGAAATAAACGGGAAATCATTCTGAAAGGAACATTCAATTTTCACTGAAGTCAAATGAAATTATAGAATACTGCTGACAATTCAGTAGAATTTGCAAGAATGTGAAGCATTTGAAATTACTCCAACGGATTTCAGAATTCAGAAATCGTTTTTATTAATTTTAATACAAGTGCGAAAAGGTGACAGTTGGTAAACAATTACGATTTGAACATTCCATTTAAAAAAATTTTGATGAACTAAAGAAATTAAAAAAAAAAAAAAAACTTTTGGTGAGTTGAATTTAAGTTTGGCTCAATTTCAAACGAAAAATAATTTTAGTTCCACCGGAGTGCCACATTTTGTACCGTTAATGGATCAAAGAACTAATCTTAAGTATATTTATTGTTGAATTTTATTCAATCGATCGCTTTATTTGCGCTACAAATTCTTCAATAATTTAGTTAAATATTGATTATCATTCACGAAAGTTATTTTTTTTATTATATTGTCTGTGAAGAATAAATAGTAATGTTACATTTGCCAATTCAAGGGGAAGGGGACTCAGATGAATTTAATTTGCATCTAAAATTAAGCCTTTGTATTGCATTATACCATTTATATATTAAAAAATGTTTATGCATAACCTACTTAAGATTTTTAGTTCCGATTTCGTTCAATAAATATAAAATGTTAAAAAAATATAATAATTGAATCATTTAAAAAAAAATAAGCAATAAAAAAAAATCATTTTGTAAAATAAATTAATCTTGAAAAATTAAAAGTATTATTATAAATTATTTTTAGTTTCCATTGTTAAAAATCTTACACCATTACATTTTAGTTTGTTTTGTGACCTCTTTTATCTGTGGTTTCTGCATCCATCGAGAATCGAGCCGTGCACGCGTGAATTTGCATGTCACTGGCAGCAATACACACACTCACTGATCGGCGTATGTACCGCCGAGCGAATATATTAAACGTGTGTGTATAGGTGTCAATGACATGTCGAGGCGGCGGAATCGGCGGTTCAACAATCAAGTCGGCGCGCGAGAGAGAGAGAAAAGAATGCGCCCGGCCGTAATCTACAAATTACTAAATGGTGTCCGCCGTCGTCGAATAAATCAAAGACTTTTGACTGATGCACGCTAAATGATTCAGCATTTAGACGTTGCCGTTGTTGTGATAGCATCTCTCAACGAGGAAAAATTAGACCCGTTAACGTTGAGGCACCCTCGGAGTCAACCGCGCTGACCCGACACCGCTCCATTGTGTACAAACACCGAGAGCAATAAAAATATAATATTCGATTGTCATCTCTCTATCGATCAAATTGGAAGCGGCAAATAATTGCATTTTCCTTTCTTTCTCTAACTCGCCAAATTCTCCTTTTATTTTCTCGCAGGCGAAATTTTCACCCGCGAGCCGCTGGACCGAGAGGCCAAGGCCGTCTTCGAGCTGGTCGCCGAGGCCAGGGACTTGGGCAGCCCTCCCAGGAGCTCCCGAGTGCCGGTCAAAGTGCAGGTGGCCGACGTCAACGACAACGCACCGCTCATTGTGGAACCCGAGGAGGACGTGGTTGGTGTTCGGGAACAACAACCGGTGGGAACTGAGGTCGTCAGGGTGCGGGCCATCGACAGGGACGAGGGCGAGAACTCTTCCATCACCTACTCCATCGTTCAAAGTAAGATAATTGTTTCATTTTTACTGTAATAAGAATTTAAATATCACTTTCATATATAGATTGTTAAAATTGTCGAAGATGTAAAGATGATTTCTTTTTTTAATTATAAAATTTTGAAAAAAAGTTCAAGATAATACACTCATTTTACTTTTTTAAATAAGCAGCAGACGTTTTTCATAAGTACTTATTTTTTTAACTGTTGTCAAGGATGTTTTAATAATTATTGTCAATGTTAAATTTTAAAATATTTCTCCCTGTGACTGTCTTAAAAAGAAAGATTTCACCAGTTTGATTAATTTAAATAAATATTGTATAATTAAATAAAATAAAAAAATCAAATTTTTTATCATATATTTTGTGTAATAAAAAAAGCAAGCATTCCCCTTCTAAATTAATATTGATTAATCGATTTTTAACAATAAAACATTGTTTCAACCATTAAGAAATTGAAAATTCATTGGGACTTTAGAAAAAAATATATTTTGAGATATGAAATGATATGTAAGTTTTTTCTCACAATTGAGCTCATTTATCGATCAATGTTATAGATTGTTGCAATTTGTGTAAAATAATGTTAAAACTTTGTTTCCGAACTTAAAATTAAGATAACTTTTACATTTTAAATTTTATTTTAGCGTTCATGGCAAAGCCAAATCACATAGTTGCAACAATAGAGAACAATTTTCGACATTAGTGGGTGTAATGAGAAATTTTAACTATTATTATTTATTTATTTACTGTTGCATAAACTGCTCCCTTGCTGATCCCTTCCCAATCCCTTCCCGATCCTTTTCTTATCCAATTCCCTCCTCAATCACAGTAAAAAATGCTGTCGAAAATAAAAATAAATATTTACGATACAAAAATTAAATGCTTATTTGACAACTAAAGTACAACAAACTTAAAAAAAGTTAAAATTGTAAAAAACAAATTCTTTTTTTCCCCAACTAGGTCCTGAGGCCAGTGATGGTTTTGCTGCGTTCACCGTCGACCCTGTAACAGGGGTGGTTCGCACCAAAGCCATTCTGACGCACGAGGAAAGAGGCGCCTACCGCCTCGCCGTGGCCGCCTCCGACCGCGGCCGACCCGCCAAACAGAGCGTCCGCCTCCTCAGGGTGGAGGTTCTGGACGTGAACGACTCTCGGCCAACCTTCAGCAGCGCCAGCCTCGTCTTCAGGGTGAGTCAAAAATAAATTATATAAATAACTCTCCAACGCAAAGCCTCTTTTGCTCTTTCCAATCAGTCTAGAGTTGCGAAATTACAAAGGCGCTTGAAAAGTTCGGCACATTAATCATCCGGCCAGGCAAATTAGCTATTAGCAATCGTTGAACTCGGTGTACTTCTTTTTTTTTTTGCACGAACCAAGCCGTCTGGCCGCCGCTCTGCTCTCAGCTCGCCGATTTCTTGTAATCAATTCATTATAGCCTTGGCGGATGAAAAAATTGTGAACGTGCGTGCATGCTAATTATTGGCGAAAAAGCATCCTAGCGTGGTGACATGTTTATTCTTCGGCTACAATGATCGATCGGAGCAATTTAACTCGGCATTTTATGGTAATTAGCCCTTCATTAACGCCCACCGCCCCCTCCCCGTCCGCGTTTTTGTGTCAACTTTTCACATGACTTGTCATTAATCTTCGGCAACCTTTCCCCATTTTTCTCACGTCAAACGAGAAATTCATTTTATTTTTTACGCTCACCTACACTGACTGAGAGACTGGCGGGGGCCACCTTCGGGTCTGTCGATCGGAAAGCCAGACCACGACACGTAGGTAATCATCGCGCCACTTTTTGCCCCGCAAAACGAACCATGCTCTTTGTATTTATTTCTCTCTCGGTCGATTTTTTCATTTCGGTAATAACGCTGCGGCCGTGCATTATTACTGCATTTGTCTCTCTGTCTGTGTCTGTGTGTGTGTTTTTTCGTCGCTTCCAAATTTATTTCTCATCAAGTGCTCTTTTCATGCCCATTCCCTTTTTGCCGGGCGCATCATCAAAGCAGCAGTCATTTTCGCGCAGTGGCAAGAAACAATAAAGCGGCAGCAGCAGTCGCGAATTATCACCACGCGGTAATAAAGTGGGGGATAATTTAAGAATATGACTCCACATAAATCTTTTTATATTGACGCAGTGTATTCCCTCTCGTTGGCGCACATTTTCTGCAAATTCACATAACTACCACCAACTGCCGCCGCCGCCGCCGCCGTGGCCGCAATTAACTTTTTATGCCTAGACGCGGCGCGTTGTTTTGCCGTCTGGTGATTGCGATTGGAAAGAGTAAAAAATTCCCACCAGAAATAAATTTATAAAAATTCTTTCCTCCTCGAATTATATTTTCAGCCTTTGTACCAATGGAAATGATCGTTCAAGATTGAAACTTATTTGTTCAAATATAATTTAACACATATTTACTTTTTGTTCCTAATATTGATTAGCTTAACAAATATTTGAAAAATCAAATTTATTATAATCTATTACACAGTTTTTTTCCTCACAATTTTAAATTTTCCAAGAAATTAATTGATTGTTGTTTACTTTTTATGTGCAGAAATTTTCAAGTTCTTTATTCTTTTTTTAAAATATTTCACCAATTTGTTAAAAAAAACCTTTTTATACGTTGAAACATAGAAAATTAAAATGGTCAATTGTTGGTCAGAGTTTCTGCATTGTTAGTACGGAAAACACTGAATTTTTTATATTCCTGCATTATTTTTTGAAATTATTTTCATTTTCCCAAATATGTCTTTCTTGATTCTTTTTATGGATTTCAAGTACAATTTTATCAAATCTACAATAATATCATTCTCGAATGTCAAACGCAGGTTCCGGAAGGCGTGCCTGTGGGTTTTGAGGTTGGTACTGTGACCGCCGGTGAGGGTGAGAACAACGTTGACGGTGCCAAGGTGACCTACACCCTGAGCACCGATGACCTGGATGATGAGGTCGCGGCCACCTTCACAGTCAGCCGCACCACCGGCGTCCTGCTGACCACCCGTGACCTCGACCGCGAGCACACCAGCTCCTACCAGCTGGAGGTGCGCGCCATTGACTCGAGTGGGGTGCCGCAGGTCACCAGCCTCATCAGCATCACGGTCGAGGTTGAAGACGTCAACGACGAGGCGCCGTTCTTTGCCGAGGACCCTGTGCTGGCCACGGTGGCCGAGGATTCGGCCATCGGCACTTCGGTTTGGAACTTCACAGCTGAGGATCGCGATTCAGGTAGGCAATTTATTTTTTCTTGTTGATTATTTATTCGTCCAAATTATTATTAAATGAGAATTAAAATTGAATGGAAAGAACAATTTTTGAGGTAGAATAATTTAATTTAAAAAAGGGGCAACCATTTGGCTACAATAAATTAAAAATCGGACTTTGAAAGTGTATCAATTAAAATGTTTCAAATTATGTGTGAATAAATTTTTTATTTATATTAAATATTACAAAATATGCTAATAAATTATCTCATTTCAACGAATATTTGATAATTGAACATTTTAAGATAATTTTAATTTATTTAATGATTATTTCAATAATTTTGGTCATTTTGACTTTGCTAGAATCAAAATTTTATCTGTTTATTTTGCGTTTCTTACAACAAAATATTGTTATAAATTGATTCTCAATTCGCGGTGAAGTTAAAAATTTAAATTAGTACTACTTCTTTCTCGTTGATTATCGGTAGTCGTATGAATTTATATTAAAAAATACATGTTTTCAATCACGCGAATGGCATCATCAAATAAATGATTGTAAACAAGTTTTATCTAACTTTTCTAAGAAATATAGATGTGATTGTAAAACCAGTTGAATATAATTATTAAATTATATTTATTATATGTATGCACCAGTAGATTATTATAAGCACATTTCTGTGCAAAAAACATGCAAACTAAAAATTATATTTGCTTCTAATATAAAATATCCGCAACAAAAACATTTCCTAAAAACAATCATTTTTTCCATCCAACTCATCCCTTGCGAATGCAATAAAATTGTATTTTTTTCCAGGAGCCAATGGTGATGTTCGGTACTCGCTTAGCAATCAGTGGCCTCGTGACGACTTCGCCATCGACCCTGAGAGCGGGATTCTCAGCGTGTCCGGCGGTCTGGACCGAGAACTGCACGCCGAGTACACAATCGTGGTGACCGCGACCGATCAGGCGCTCAACGCCTCGCAAAGACTGCGTTCCTCGGCCACGGCCAAAATCCTGGTGCTCGACGCCAACGACAACTCGCCGCGCTTCGTGTCCCGCTCCACCCTTTGGCTGTCCGGCGATGAAGCGTCCGGCATTGGAGCGCCGCCCCTGATGCAGGTCATTGCGACAGACGCAGACGTTCAGGACAACGGACGCGTCTCTTATTTCTTGCAAGGCGATGCCGACTTGGAAGGCCTGTTCACCATCGACCTCAACTCAGGACTGCTGGGACTGTCCAGACCCTTGGGGCGGAGACACGGAGGCGCCAGGTTGGTCCTCAACGTGACCGCCAGGGACCATGGAAAACCGCCGAGGGCCGTTTCGCAATTGTTGGAGATCGAAGTGGCCGGCGGAAGTGACAGTCCGCCCAGGTTTTTGCAGAGTGTTTACGAAGCCATTGTGTCCGAGGATGTCCAGAGTGGGACGTTTGTCGTCAAAGTTTCTGCCAGGGATCCTGATTCTGGTGAGTTGATATATTTTTCTTTTCTAATTTAAAAAATTTATTAAAAAAAAAAGAAAATAGCGCAACCTTCATTTGACATTTTTTCGAATTTAATATATCATTTAAAAAAAATTCGTCGCAGGGAACAATTTTCAATTAGATTTTAAATTTACGACACAATTTTAAAATTACAACAAACTGACTTAAAAACATCTTCATTTCATATTTTTGATTTTAATTGATGACGGCGCCAATTTTCAAAAATAACAACGCACTTCAATGTGTAAAATATTTCCCAAATACTTCTTATTGAATTTGGCCTAAGCAAAGTTAGGAATGCTATGATTATTATAATTATTAATTAAAAATTCTGCAGAAATAACATAATTTTACTAAAATTTTGTAATAGTAAAAAATAATTTTCTTTGCGAATGAATGGAAAAAATCTCTTTTATTAATTCTTTTTACGTGATTTTGAAAACTGTTTTTAGTCTCATTTTATTTTTCACAATAAGTAAAGATCAAAAGTTTTGAAATGAATTTAAATGTAAATAACTTGTTTTTATTTCACAATCACCAGGCATTTTTATTAAAAAATTATCAAGGAAAGTATTGGAAAAATTTATATAAATAAATAGTTCTTGCTAAAAATTACATTCAATATTATAGAATTGATTCAAATATTTTAGTGCATCCAGAAAACATAATATCAGTTAAATTTCACCCGAGGATTTGCATTCGGAACGAAATTTCAGTTAATTTTTTTGATTACTCATGACACATGTAAATTATTTAAAATTTCTTTAACTTTTGACAAAATTTAAATATTTAATTTCACTTTCCATTCGTCAACGTTGTCATTAACGAGTCTCGAATTTACGCGCGCCTCTTGTTAATGAGCACTGGTCACCCGTAAAAATTGGCGCAATCAATTAAACTCGCACATTAACGACATGCAAATTTAAACACTCGCGGAGAGAGCAATCGGGCTCGGCGGCGTGGAAATTAGGCTCCTCATTCGTTATTAGACAGATTCATTGATTAGCCATGAATCCCATTACCATCTGTTCGCAGCGCCGAGCCATAAATACGTGTGTATTTTCATTAACAGCACACGATGGCAACATTGCCTCTGCTCGCTCCACACGAATGTTCTCTCGCTCGCTCTCCGTCTTCCTCGGATAATTACTAGACATTAAATATGGCTGCTCGGGGGTTTAATTTGCGTCGGCCGTGTTACCTTTGGGTTTCTTTATTAGTAACTTGCCAGCCAGCATTTGTTTCAGACACCCATCTCAAAAAGAAAGGAGAGAGAGAAAAGAGAACTGCCGGCCGAGCTTCTCCTCTCTCGTACACCATAAATAAATGACTAAACTTCTTCTTCTTCTTCTTCTTCATGCGACCCTGATTGATAAACCGCAGCTCGAGTACAAATAAGAGTTACAAAGTATATTTATATCTACGATAATTTTGATCTCGTTTTTGTTTTTTTCGGCTGCATATGTTGATAATTTTCAGTTTAATCACGAAAATAATAATTTATAATTTCTTCCCGCGGAGACAATCCAATTAATTGATTAAACGAGATAAAGTGGCGTGCAGCAGCAGAGACAATGGCTCGATATATCATCAGTGCGAAATGAGCAGCAGTCGCTTTCGGAGCGTCCGAGGAGGCTGGTCTGCATGTCATCGTGCTATTTATTAAAATCTACTCCCACGGCATTCGCCTCATTTGAAACGGCAGCCGAGCAGCGCGGATGAGTCTCGAGCCGAGGCCGTCTGCTTTTGCATCCTTTTTCGGATCAGGCAAATTTACAATTTTCTTACTTTGAGAAAATTGAGAAATTAATTGAGATCCTAAATGAATTGAAGAAAAAATTAATTTAAACAAATTGTTTGTTGTAGATATCAATTTTTAATATTTGTCAACATTGGAAATCTTGAATTTTATTTTATGAATTTTTGCTGCACTTTTTTGGCAATGAATATTAATCAATTTTAAAAAGGTAAAACATTCACTAAAAGGTAGAAAATTTCTTATTGATATTTGAAGTAAAAAAAATTCACCATTATCCATTCCTCAAAGAAATGAACAAATAACTTTACCATGTTTCCAAATTTTAAAATTCATTTCTGTTTCGTATAACGTTTCTTTTTCTAAACACCAAAAACTACAAAATTGTAGTATCAAGCAAATCATCAAGGAATTTTCAAGTTTTAATTCTACAAAAATGAACGATTCCATCAGTTAATTCTCCAACCAATCCGATTTAGTTTAATAAAATTCTACAACGTTCCAGTTAAATTTTCAATGGTAACTGCTGACGTTCATGCAATTAAAATGGTCTTTGAATTCCTGCTGCAACCCGCCTAATCGGCGTTGATCTCTGCTCGCAAGATGCAAATAACGTGCATAGCTGCGACGCTAATTGATTTCAAAAGTAGGAGGTCTTGCAGATAAATAAATTGCGACGCGGAACATCCTTAATTTCCCATATATCAGCCAAGTGAAAAGTCTCTCTCTCGGCACTAAACGCACAAAATTTATCTCTCATTGAAATTCATCCCGGCGAGTGAATTTTGCTTTAGTGCCTTAATGAAGAAATATTTCTCCGACTGCAAAACATTGTCTCTCTTTCTCCGGCCGGCGCGTTCAGCAAAGGATATTGAATGCAAAGCAGAGAATTGATGATGGGGCAACATTATAATGCTTGAGCGCGGTGCAACCGCCCTTGAGTTATGACTTATAAAGTATAAATGTATATTTTACTCGGGCCACACATCGACAGCGCAGTCCCTTTTAATGAAGCCCGATTATTTATTTATATCTCTTGTCGGCGAGCCACTGGAATTAAATTCGTTACTTTTTATTGTCCCGGATGAAAATTTACAATTTCAAAAAGAATAATTCCGATGTCGATGCACTTTTCACGATGCACCGACCGATCACGGGGGATAAATTAAATTTCTCAGCATTTATGTTTGTTTTCCATTAGCGCAAGAAGGTATTCATTTGCAATAGTAATAATAATACGCACGAGAGAGGAGAACACACGTATGTATATATTGCAGTTTGAGACGCGGCGCCGAGTGTGTATTAATTTATGTTGCTTGGGATATTTGTAAAGGGTTTAAGTGCTCGCTCAATAATAATGCTCGGTGCGAGTGGTCGTAAAATTATCATTGCGCAAACCGCGTGCGTTCCGATACTCGGAATATTATGAAGTTCGTATATAATATTCGAAGCGCGCGTGATTTAGTTCAAAGTGGCCCTTTCGCGTCCGTAACCCCGGCCCCGATAATAACCGAGAGACGCGGCCATTCTCTCTTTCTCGTGTGTCGATAATTATTAGGGAATTCGCCGCGTTTCCTCTGCGCAAAAAGAAGTTACGACGATGCTCTCATCTTTCTAGGAATGGCGCAGAGAAGTGCATTCACGTGATTTTAAACAGCACCTCAATTTGCCGACAGACGTAATAAAATGTTTAAATAATAGTCAACGTTAGTTAATACAGGTTTAGTTTCCATAAATGATAATGACACGTTATTAAATATTGTGTTTTAAAGTTTAGGTTGTTTTCTGTTCAGTTTAAATAACTCCGGGAAATTTTTATACCCTATAGAAATTTTTCAAAAATTTCCTTTGATAATTTGATAAAGTAACATTTTTCTGATTTTTGCAGTGAAACAGCATTTTTGAAATAGTGAAATTACTGTTTGCAATATTATGATAATTAAGTATGTTGAAATGCCATCAATAGGCAACCACTAGTAAATTAATAGCATTCCAATGTTCATTTATGATTTTTTAAGGCAAAATACGTTAACTGAAATTTAAAAGTTGGTTAAATTTATAAAACTTATTTATAAAAAAGCTCTAAATAAACTTTTATAATTTGCTTTCATAAATGTTATTAAATCAAATTATTTTAATTTTATAATTATTTTTTATTATTAACATAACAACGATTGTTTGTGAATCAAATTAGTAATAAAATATTGCTTTTTTTAAAGATAAATTAGAGAATATATGTCTGCGACCTTGAAAAGATATAATAAATAACAAAATAATAAAATAATTAACTTTACTTTATCTCGTCTGACTGTCAAGCAGTATTTATGAATCATTTAATATTACTGTTGATTTCTTTCATTCACCAGCAAATGTGGTATCAAATCATGACATTTTTTTGTAAAAAATACTTTTACTTAGAATAACCAAGAATAAAACCAACAAAAATTTAAAGAGATCTATATTATAAACCTTGAAGGCTACACTGTATAAAGTTCCATCCCTTATGTTCCCATATCAAATCATAGTAAATTTTTAGATGAAGCTGCCCCTTGACTTCATTTTAACCAGATTTCACCCACTTATTTTAGGTGAAATTTTATAATTGCCATTAATTTTTTTTTAAACAAAAACTTTATTCAAAAAAATCATATTAGAGCGAAAAAAATCAAAGTAATCTAATACATTAAGATGTTTCAATGACCATTAAAATGAATCCAACTGATGAATTAAAGCTCTAAAATAAAATTATTTTCATTAAATTTCAAAAATCAATACAAGCATTTCAACAAAAACGTTTTGTTTGTTTCAGGTGGTGCTCCAGACAACCTGACCTACTTCATCCCCGAAGGAATGGCCGACGGCCGTTTCAGCATCGACCCGCGTCGCGGGGTGGTGACCACGTCAGGGCCGCTGGACCGCGAACTGACCTCACGGTACGTGCTGCCCATTTACGTGCGCGACGACTCAGCCCGTCCACCCCAACTCGACTCTTCCACCCTAGTCGTGGTCGTCCTGGACGCCAACGACAACTCGCCCCAGTTCGCCCCCGGCTCGTGCTACCCCCTGTCAGTGCCTGAGAACAGTGACCTGGCCGTCATCCACACCGTCGTGGCCACCGACCTGGACGAAGGTCGCAACGGCGAGGTCACCTACAGCATCAGCAGCGGCAACGTCGGCAACAAGTTCAGCATTGACCTGCACACCGGCGAACTCTCGGCCAGGCCGCTGGACAGGGAGGCGCAGGCCGCCTATTGGCTGGTCATCACGGCCGAGGACAGGGGCAGCCCTGCCCTTTCAGGCGCCTGCAACCTGAGCATCACGGTTGGCGACCAGAACGACAACGACCCCAGGTTCGCCCTGCCCAGGTACGCGGCCTCTCTGCCCGAAAACGCGCCCCTCGGCTCGACGGTGCTCGCCGTCCAGGCCACGGACGCCGACATTGGGGCCAACGCGCGCATCACCTACTCGCTGACCAACGAGAGCCAGTGGCTGTTCAAGATCGACAATGCCACCGGAGTCATCACAACAGCTGGGTAAGTAATTTTTTATAAATCTTTTAGAACTTAAATTTTACTATAATAATTGCATTTATTATTTAAAAATTATTAATTTTAATAAAATTTGCTTTTATAAATTTAATTATTTAGTTATTTTACTTATTAATTGTATAATTTAACTTATCATTTTTTAATATTTTTTTTATTATAACTTTATTTGCAAACAATGAAGCAAAATTTTAAATTTTATCTTCCTTATTTCATCATTTTATGATACAATATATGAAAATACATTTTGTCTACATCCTTTGTCATGTAAGTAAATTAATAATTTAAATGATGTACCTTTATAATAATATCTATTGATTCAAATTATCTTATGCTATGTATATTTTACTTTTAAAGTTGATGTACCTTTAATAATGGAAAACAATTTGCGCAAATCATGAAAATTGCTTATTACATAAGTTACATAATAATAATAATAAAATGCACTTACTTGCTCGGCTTGAAAGGTTTGTTATTAAAATATTATTCAGTGATAAAATAATTTAAATGGTGGGTGGCATTTTGTTTCATTTTAAATATTTAACATGAAATTAGAAAAAAAATATTTGCTTTACAGCCAATTTTGACTCGTTTCAATATATTTAAGTTTTCTTTTCGCATCTATAAAGATTATTCCAATTCTACAGCCGAAATAAGATAAACCCATCATCAGTTTAAAACTTTGCAATTTGTTTCGTTTCTCATTGCAAATAAAATAGCTCTACCTTTCTTCAGATCCATTTTATTATACAAGTTCAACATCTTTCTCATTCCCGAAGCACTCAAAGCGTATATTATATATAGTTTCATTTAATGTTCCATTGTCTCTGTCGCTTCCCACAATAGTCAAATAACGATTTCTGCCTTTCAGCAGCTTTCATTCCGCCGAGTGCACGCATTTGAATTTAATTTGAATGTACCGTAGTTGACCACATTGTTTCGCACTGCAGGAATTTGAATTTCGACCTCTTTCTCTCTTTTCGCAGAATGCTCGACCGCGAGAAGCAGCGCGTCTACTCGTTCCAAGTGGTGGCCACCGACGGCGGCCGCTACGACGCCCGTTCCGAAAAGGTCTCCGTCCAGCTGACGGTCAGCGACGTCAACGACAACAAGCCGGTGTTCGAAAGGTACCCTTTCACGGCCGAAGTGGCCGCCTCGACTCAGCCGGGACACGCGCTCGTCCAGGTCACGGCCCACGACAAAGACGAAGGCGCCAACGCGGACATCGTTTACAGGTAAATTTGATCATATTTTAATTTTTTAAATCATTTCAATTCGTTAGAAACACGAAACTACAAAAAATTAACAATAATGATGATAATATGAATACGAAAAAAATACCTACTAAAAATAAAGCTTTTTGGAATTACTGTTGTTTATTTTAACGGAAATGAAAAAAAAAACACATTATAATTTGATAGAAAATGAGCAGACATTAATTTTCTTAAATTTTCATTAAATAAGAGCACCACAGAATTTGGCAACTCGTGTCATTCTCATTCAAATTATTTGTCAGATAAGAATTTTCTTACTTAACCACAAAAGGAAGCCTTTCTTTTTAATAAATTCTACTTTCTTAAATTTTCATTTGTTTAAAAATTTTTCAGTAATTAGAGTTTTGGGATTTTTTTTAATGTATTGATCGTTTGCAGAATTATAATATAATTTTCACTGGCATTACTGTAAATTATAGTTACTTTACTACAAATTCAATCAATTTAATTAAAATCCTAGATTTTTTTTTAGAAAATATTAAATGATTTTAAATTAGAATTCTTATTCTGTGGAATTTGCAAGCAAATGGTCAATTAAAATTACCTCTTGCGTGTTAAAAACTGCGTTAAGGTGAAGATAAACTTAAAAAATTCAAATTTCTAAAATTGAGTATTTTCGTTTCCTTAATTCATTTATTTCTTTTAAATTTATGCCTTTTGCTGTTTTCAACTGCCATCATCACTGTTAGGTTTAAAATTAATGGTGAGCGATCGTATTTATTTACATATATGCAATAAAAATAGCTGAAGATCTTCGGTGCTTGTTAGCTGATTGGAACGATGTTCGGCTGACGAGCGCCACTAGTAACACACGTCCGCGCACTCGACACGTTATTTTATTTTCCTTTGCTGCACTCGGGCGCTAATTAGAAAACAATGGACGTGGCCGCTTTAGTGTTAATCAGGCTGTTTAGCTGCTGCTGATCGGGGTGAAAATTTATGAGGGCCATTAAACGAGTGCGGCGTTGCACTCAATCACCTGTCACCGTCTCTAATGCAAGCGGATGCATCCAAACTCCTCCCGGCTCATTTACATTTTTATGCTCATTAGTGTCATTAGCCGACGGAATTTATTTATCTCTTTCTCGCTCGCTCGCGACTAATTAATTCGTCGACGACTTTGGGAAATTCGGACCGAGAAACATTCCGCCGCTTTGTTCTTCATTCGTCACTTACGGCTAATTAATTCGGAGATTTTATTAATCTAAGAGCTTTCCCGCGTCCGCGGTCATCAATCAAAATTTTTCAAAAAAAAAAAAAATTACGCACGCGCTTCCGTCAGTTTTCAGAGCTCTAGAAGAATAAAATATAAAAACGTGACTGCTCAAAGATATAGAGAAATTTAACCATCTTTAGAATTGCTTATAGAATATTTAAATAAAATTTAATTAATATTATTGCTTCAATTATTATTAGTTAAGATGTATAATTTAAATAAAATTTTTTTTTAATTTTTACATTTTACTTTATTTGATTTCTATTTTTTATATAATACTTTTTATTGCTATTTTATTAATGGAAACGCATTGAGCAATGAAAAATTGTTCTCTTTATGTTGCTATAAATATGATCAATGACCGTCATATGACACATTGTGGTGAAGACCGTTTTGAACTTAGTAGCGTTGCATTCGTTAGTATAAATTATTATACATAATATGAGTCTAGTTTAAATCAAGAAATTCTAATGATTACGGAAATTCAGCAATATAATTAGTTCACCGTCAGTGATATGACATGTTACAATATTAAAATATTTTATTATTGTGTATATAATATATTTACATTTACGTGAACTTTTATATCTAAATGAATCATAAATTAATTTTTTATTCTTTATTGGCTTTTCATTTCCCTCCCAAGTTCATCCTGGAATAGGATTTTTGCTCATTGTGTCAGAAAGAAGCGGCGGAATTTTTCTTGTTCCGGATTTCTCAAAGTAGTTGTTGAATTAATTTAAGAAAATAAATTCTTGAAATTAAAATATTAACAATTTTAATAAATCTCTATAAAATTAATTTTTTAAAAAGACTTTAAATACTAATTTGCTTCAAAGCAACTTAATAAAATAAATTTTTAGCATAAAAAAGTCAACATTTACGAAGAATAACAATACAAAATAGACACTTTTCACAAGTCCGAATCTTCCCTTCAAATTTCAATGGGAAATTTTGATTTTCTTCTAAATTTTGAACTTGCAAATAATGTAACTGAGAAATGAATCAAAGGTGTGTCTGGTGGCGCAGATCGAGTCAACGGCCCGTCGCACACCCACACGAGCACAGTTGGCCGGCCAGAGTGGGCTCCTTTGTTGTTGTATCTCGGTGGTGATTAAATTTGTAACGCGTCACTCGCACGCTCTAAGCGGATTAACTCGCTCGTTCGCTCACTCGCTCGGCCACCCTTTGCCGCATTCCACAGATAGGCAGAGTGCGTGACACACACGACACACTGCCTGCCTACCTCGCTAGGGGTTTTAATCGCACGTGCCTTGCCAACTTCTGTCAACTAGATTTAAATGGAATAAATTAATATAAGATAATTTGATTTAGATCTACAAAATAAGGTAGAGTCTACTTCACTCCTGCTTCACTCCAAACTAAAAATAAAAAACCTTATAAATTGATTGATAAGTTTTGTTTTACACAATGAACATATAAGTAAATTTTCTATTCATTTTCATTTCAGTTTTGTGAATGAGCCACCCGGCAGCAAATTCCGGATTCATCCGAGCACCGGAGTTGTGACGGCCAGTTCGAGTTTGTCATCAGACTCAGGGCGCCTCTTCCACCTCGAGGTGCTGGCCAGGGACAAGGGCAACCCTCCGCAGAGTGCGACAGGTTTGGTCGAAATCAGGGTTGGCGAAACGAGGGACGCTGCCGCCGCAGCTGCTGCTCTCCGTTTCCAAAACTCCACGTATGTCGTCAGCCTCCCAGAAAACGCACCAACCGGCAGGGACGTCGTTCAGGTAGGATTTTAATTTCTTCTTACTTAGAATTAAGTATTGTTTTATTCTTTATTCAATAATTATGGAAGATTAACTTTTAAAAAAGGTTTTAAAAACTAAAAAGTTTTACCAAAATGTTTAAATTAAAATTAATAACCATTGTTAATAACTTCATATTGGTGTAGAGGCAAATCTACCTGATGGAAATAATTATTGCATCTGCCAACAATGGATAAAAATTCAATTTTTGATTAATTTGTTTGCTGATAAATTAAAGAAACTAAAATTTTATGAATTCCATTGCTTGAAAATGCTCAATTTCTAAGCTAAGACTCAAAATTATTTACAATTCAGCTGGAAATTTTAAGATTTAAATTTTAAATTTTAAGTTCATTTAATTGGTACTTTAATAATAAAAAATTTGCCATTAATTACAAATTTATATTGCTGTGAAGACTTTATTTGCTTATAAAAATAAGGATTCTTGCCCTTAAATAATTTTTATTGTTATGACTCTATAGTTAAATGAAATTTTTACAATCTTGATTTTAAAAGCTTTATTTTTTTTCGAAAAATTTCAAATTTATAATTTTTTTGTAAGGAACTCATTTTATTTATTTATTAGTTTTCCTAAATTTATTTGAAACATCGAAATAATTTAAATTTGATTCAATTCAATGTAAATTTTCGAGATTAAGAGGAATTTTTTTATAATCATTTCCAGGTTTCGGCGGTTCGAGCTGACGGTCGTCGCCAACGCATCACCTACAGTTTTGGCAGCGGCAACGAGGACAACACCTTTGAAATCAACTCCAACAACGGTCTGGTGCGCGTGCGCGACCCTCGGTTGCTGGACTTTGAGACGGCGCCGCGGCTGCGATTGGTGGTGGTGGCGCAGGCCGACGGCGCCCTGGCGCCGCTGTACGGCTACGCGACGGTGTGGGTCGAGTTGCAGGACGTGAACGACAACGCGCCGCGGTTCACGCAGGAGCGATACTACGCGTCCGTGTGGGAGGGCAACAACAAGGGCACGTTTGTGATGCAGGTGTCGGCGACGGACGCCGACGAGGGCGCCAACTCGCACATCCTCTACCACATCGTCGACGGCAACCACGACAACGCGTTCGTCATCGAGCCGCCCTTCTCGGGCCTCGTCAAGACCAACATCGTGCTTGACCGAGAGATCAGGGACTCGTACCGACTGACCGTGATCGCCACCGACGAGGGACGCCCGCAGTTGACAGGCACGGCCACCCTGAGCGTCACCATTGTCGACGTCAATGACAATCAACCCACTTTTCCGCCACATTCGGTCATCAGCGTCAATGAAGGTACGTTTGAAAAATTTTTAACTTGATTTTTATTATAAAATTTATTTTCAAAGTTTTATTTAATATGTGTTAATTTTTATTATTTATTCTATATAATGAAAATGTTTGACTTTAAATTATTTTTAAACAATTATTATTTTTTTAATTAATTATCTAAATGTTACTTTCATTTAAATCAAACGATATGTTCCTCCTAATTTATATAAAATTAAAGAGTATCATCATTTTTAATACATGGAGAGTTAAAACTTCTTAACACTTTGTTGTGTTTAGTTAATTTTAGTCTATTATGTTCCATGCTCTTAAAATATCACATATGCCGACATTTGCATCAATATTTTCTTTAACCGTGAATGGCTAATGAACTACTGATTTTGAAAATAGAGGGGAGAAATTTTTTGCTATTAAACTTTGAGATTGTATTTCAGTAAATTGTATTCATAATAAAAAATTAGAATCAAATAATAATGAAGCCCATTTTAGCAATAAGATAATAGAATTAACTCAATGAAAGAAAAATAATATGCACTCATTTAAAACGCTATTAAATTCGCTGATAATTTTTTAAGCGCAGTATTTCAAGCAAAGCGGAAATGCGCTCGTCCCGCTTACATTTCCCCTTATCACATCCTAGACAAAATGAATTTCTGAACGTTTTGTTCAGCTTTTAAGCAAACACGACCGAAAATAATAATCCTCCCATAATTACCGCACTAATTGTGACAGCCTAGGTGAGATAGGCGCACATTGTTTCGTTATCAAATCATTTTTTAATTTCCTGCCGCGCGAAATTAAATCATTGTTGGCTCGCCCGTTGCAAAAATCTTCTCTCACAAGCTCACTGAAATGAGAAAAAAATAAGCTCTCGTGTGGTTTAAAACGTCTCCTGCTTTTTTTCTTCCGTTTTATGACGTGCATGTAAATATAATTTTCGTCAAACACCTTCCGAGAAACAGTTCAAAAAATAATTCGAGATTTTTAGATTCGCAAACGCTAATGGTATAAGTACCGTGCTTAATCGAGCCAATTAAAATGCCTTTCGCGCCGTGTTTTTAATTAAGATACTTTTCTACCGCGGGGAGGACAATGCGTGCAGATTTCGGCGAGCGACGGGGGGCGTCCGATGATGTCACCGCCGGGTCGAACAACTCCCACGTGGTGGGAAAAAAGCGACCGAAGTGAAAGAAAAAAAAATCATCTCGGGCCTTTTTGATGTGTTTATTATACACGGCGGCGGCGACTTGTGCGAAAAGCCGATTGAGTGCCGTTCGGTGATAAGGCGTTGATACTTTTATCGGCCGGAGCGTGTGTTTTAGTGAGTGCAAATTGTCATCGCGAAATATAAGTGCTCTTATTTATGGTGACGCACGAGAGTGAGAGACCGGCTCTCTTTCATGATTAGTTCAGTGTCCGAGCGGAGAGACACCGTCGCCGCGCTAATAATCAATTATTTCGATACTCTCTCGCGAGCAAGAGTCTAATTGACAGCTAGTTGCGAGTTGGTAATGAATGACCTACGCCAATGTACCGGGGGAAAGTTGTTGCGATGACACGAATGCCGTCCGCGTCTTTCAAATGGGTTAATGGGCTTTGTTGGCTGTCACTCACCCGCCGTCTCGGACAAGGTGACGTCATTATTTTGACTTGCTCACTGAAATTCAAACAAGTCGACAGCCACTCTAACGAGTACAATGTTTGAACAGAATCCCGTTTGAACCTTGGAATTGCATTTGCATGTGAATATATAAGCATTAGTGAGTATGAAACTGCGCACGAAGTTAAAATTTGTGTTCGTACAATTTTATTCAATAAATAATCTAGTTTCTTCAATCATTAAGGTTCAGAATGAGAGAATGAAATTTCGGAGAAAACAACATTTAATTTCAGTGTCACTGTTGACTTTATAATTTAATTTTTCATTTAATTAATAATTATTCAGACCATACTTTAAAAACATTTAGATATAGTTTTAATTTTGCCAAGAGTGATGCTATGAGAAAAGTTTTGTGAAGCTTCTGTTTTTTAATGAAATGAAAACAAAGAAAATATCTGTATTTCACTTATTTCATGAATCTTCCTTAAACTTTTTCTGTTTTTTATTTTTTATTTCTTTTAACCTTTATTATAACTTTTTTTAGGCGCCTCTTTGGGCTCAGTGGTCGCCGAAGTGACTGCCAATGACGTGGACACCAACCCCGCGCTGACCTACTCGTTCGCCGAGGGTGGAAACCCCGACTCCACATTCAGCATTGACCGTTTCAGCGGGGCAGTGACCCTTGCCCGTCGCCTGGACTTCGAAGGCCGGCGCTCGTACGAGCTGAAAGCGCGGGCCTCGGACGCGGCCCACGCCGTCTTCACGTCGCTGACCGTCCACGTGACCGACGAGAACGACAACACGCCGGTCTTTGAGCAGCAGTCGTACGAAGTCGCACTCTCAGGTGAGCAGCGCGTCTTTTTCTTCTTTCGAGCGGCCTTTTCAGCGGTATTGGGAGATTTTATTGTAAATTGGCTGAGAAGTATCGGGGTGTCATTTATTTTTTACATTCGGTGGCCAGAAAGACCGGTTTCGGCTCCATCGGGTGGGGGGACAAACTGCCGAGCGTGCAAGCAAGCGAGCGAATCTTGCATGGAAATTATTTTACCAAATCGGTCCGGCGATGGAAAATAAAATAGAGAATTTACGCCGAGGATCGAATATTATATCACCTCGGCGCCATATTCCCTTTCAGCGTTTTCGCTCCAATGACATTTTCTAATCTAAAATTGATTTTTTTATTCTTTTTATATAGAGAGATGCGCTTAAAATTATTTGAGAAATAAACTAAAGACTAAAGTGAAAATTGCTTTTGCAGAGCTGACGGCGCCTGGGCAGCCGATTTTGACAGTCAACGCGTCGGACGCCGACTCTGGCGAAAACGCGCGCATCCACTTCTCCTTGCTGGGAGCCTCCGACGGATTCAAGATTGACGAATACACAGGTGTCATTTACACCAACCGCAGCGTCGAGTACGACCCTAGGCGACCCCACGTGCAACTGCTCGTGGCCGCCACTGATGAGGGAATTCCGTCCAGATCCGCAGTGGCCGCCGTCAGGGTGCACCTCACTGACGTCACAGATGCACTTCCACGTTTTCCACAGGAAGAATTCAGGTTCATATAAACTATTTATTTAATAATATTTTAAATTTGCAAATATGAAAAAGTAGATTTTTAAAAATAAAATTTTTAAGATTTTATGTTTTTTTAATTTAATTTTTATAACTTTAATAATTTATTTTATCTCATTTTAATATTATTTAAATTCAAATATCATTTTATATATAATTGCATATATAGTAGTATATTTTTAATTATATATTGTGTCTTTCCTCTCAATTGAAACAAACAAAATACATTTTAATGCAATGGCTGGATGGAAACGGTAAATAATATCAACATGATCGTACGTACATTACAATTTTAAATTCAATATTGGAACTTGTACAAGTAGAGACTTGGGTGTAAAATTAAATTTTCTTACTTACTCTTATTAGTGCTATCAATTTTTACTTATATATTCTCATTTCAGGGTGCACATTCGTGAGGATTCCACCCTTGGCTCCATCGTAATGCGCCTTCCTCCTGCCGGAGGCTTGACTGACGACTTGGAACGCAGCAGTCTCGAGTTCACCATCATCTCAGGGAACGAGGAAGACCTTTTCCGCGTGGTCAGTCCCAGTGGAGAACTAATTCTGATTGGCCAGCTCGACAGAGAAACCCGCGACTTGTACACCATCAAGATCAGCGTGCGCTCAAGAATGGCGCCTTCAGCCAACTCCACCGTCACCATTTTGGTTCAAGTAGACGACGCCAACGACAACGCGCCTGAATTTTCCCAGCCACGTTACGAGACGCATGTAAGCGAGGCGGCTGCGGTCGGACGCTCCATCCTCCGACTGACGGCCACGGACAGAGACATCGGCCGAAATGCAAAGTTGCTGTACGAAATCACATCTGGAAATGAAGAAGGCCATTTTTCACTCGATCCTAGTTCAGGTGTGATTTCTATTGTCTCGCAGCTGGACAGGGAGCGGACACCCATGCACCGACTGGTGGTCAGGGCATCAGACCAGTCTCAGGACAACCAACTTGCCGCCCTTGCGTCGGTGATTGTGGAGGTGGATGATGAAAATGATAACGCTCCGCGGTTTCCAGTGTCCAGGTACACGGCCTCGGTGCCTGAAAACAGTCCAGTTGGCACCAGGGTCGTCAGGATTTTGGCCACTGACATGGATAAGGGAGAATTCGGTCAGCTCAACTATTCAATTGTGGCAGGAGACGGACGTGGAAGATTTGCGGTTGATGATTCAGGACTGATTACCACTCTGGCCATTTTTGATTACGAGGCAGTCAATCGCTACTCGCTGACCCTGAAGGCCAACGACCTTGGAGGCCTGACAGCCACGGCTTTGGTCACGGTGGACATTGAAAGCAGAGACGAATTCCATCCAGAGTTCACAGAAAGCACGTACAGATTTGTTGCACAGCCGTCGCCACCTGTTGGTTATGTGGTCGGCAGCGTTCATGCTTCGGATCGAGATCTGGGCCCTGACGGAAGGGTCATTTACACGTTGGCCAGTCAGGACTCGCACTTCAAGGTGAACAGAACCACCGGCGCAGTAATTGTGAGAAAGGCGATTTCAAGCGAAGCCGCCGGCAGTGAGGTCAGGCTGGTTGTGTCTGCCAGTTCAGGCCGTCCGGGCTCCCTGACCAACATGACCATCGTGGAGGTCGCCCTGAACGCCCTGGCCACCGGCGGATCCAACTTGGTTGGTGCTGGTGCCGGATCTGCGGCCGAAGCAGCCTCAGGAGGAATCGCCGATTGGGCTCTCGGCCTTCTGATCGCTCTCATCCTGCTGGTGGTGGCGTTCGGAGGGGCCTTCGTCTTTCTGCACATGCGCAAGCAACGTCAGTGCAAACCTTCCATCAGCACAGAGCCCTTTGACCACTCCTCCTTTGACACGATTGATGTTCGCGGCCCAACCACCTCAGCCGTGTCCTCGATGGCCCAATTCCCGCCAAAATATGATGAAATCCCCGCTTACGAAGCAGCCGCCGTCGTGGCCGCTGAGAGAAGACACCACAGACACCACGGCTCGCACCACGCCAACTCAGAACTGTCTGAACAGAGCCAATCTGCGTCCAGCGGTCGCGGCTCTGCTGAAGATGACGGCGAAGACGAGGAAATTCGCATGATCAACGAAGGCCCCCTCATTCAACAAAGCAGTGCCCCCTCCTCCTCAGGTGGCCATGTGAACCGAGGTCTCCAACTTCCAGGTGACTCTGGCTGCATTCAGGGTGACGAGGACAACCTGAGTGACGTGTCCGTTCACAACACCCAACAGTACCTGGCGCGCCTCGGCATCGACACGTCCCGTTCTCAGGTGGACACTTCCAGCAGCAAAGGTGGCACCAGCGTCGTCGCCGGCGGCTCTCAGGAGCTCCTTCCACCTTTGGGTCATTCCATCTTTGACGACGAAGGTGGCGAGGCCGACCTGGCCAACCTTTTGTACGCCAAACTGCAGCACGGGCCGGGCAGCAGCAGTGCCAGCGCGGCCGGCGACGACCAGTCGGCCGCTTCCACAGGTGGCGCCGGCGACGTCCGAAACGTCCTTTTGGGCTTCACGGTGGCCGACGAAGGGCCGAGCATGACCGGCTCCCTCAGCTCCATCGTGCACAGCGAGGAGGAGCTCACCGGAAGCTACAACTGGGACTATTTGCTTGACTGGGGGCCGCAGTACCAACCTTTGGCCCACGTTTTCTCAGAGATCGCAAGACTTAAGGACGACACGGCCCCTTCTTCCACGTACGGCGGCCTCCAGGGCAAAAAAGGGCCTCTGCCGCTCACCCCGCAAGTCAAAACCGTTCCTCCCCCTCTGATCACCAACGTGGCCCCCAGATCGATCGCCCCCGTGGCCAGGGCGTCGCACCACATGCCGAGGTCGCCCATCAGCCACGAGTTTGCCGCCGCCATGTCGCCGTCCTTCTCACCCTCGCTCTCGCCCCTGGCCACCAGGTCACCGTCAATATCCCCATTGGTGGGGCCTTCGTTGGGCCCCCACCACGGCAGGGCCCTTCCGCCCAGGCCGACGGGCCTCGTCTCGGGGACGCCGTCCGGCTCCGAAACGGAACTGCGAATCTAGTGATATTAAAAACAAACAAACAGTGTAGATAGACAGTGTGAATATTGTGAAATACACCAATCAAAACTGGACCAAGTATTGAATTGAAAAAAGAAAAACCTGCGCCAATCAAGCGTTGCTCAACCGAGAGTCAGGATATGACGTGTATAAAAATGGAAATAATTATTATTAAACACTACGTTGTGATCGCGAAGTAAATAAATAAAAGGCGAACCGCCGCCGCCGCTCTCTTTCCTCTCACGATTTGTATACGCGAAAAGTTCTTTCATGATAATTTGCAAAAATGTCTCGCCACCTCGATCCGAGACCATGTGATATTGTTTTATACTTGTAATTATTTATCGCCGTGTTTTTTTTGTTATATATGCGCGTATAAATGCCTGCCTGTCGTCGCAAATTGTGCAAAAATCATATCACAGCGTCCGCCATTAAAATGGTCCCATTTATATATATTTTGTTCATTCCAATCGAGTGAATGCCGCGTGTGCTGAGGAATATCATGGACGAAACGCCACACATTCTGTGGATCTTCAGTTGCCAAATAATGAATACTCTGTAGAAAACTAAATTATGATCTGAGTCGGCATTTAAGCAAGAGGCGTGAAACAGTACTAATGTTAAATAAATGCAAAATGATGGATACTCGCTGAACTGAAAATAATTAATATGTATGTATTGTTGCGTGAATTTAAAAATGTGTAAATTTTGTACGTCCGACAACGAATGCGCAGTGTTTGCAATATTGAGCGAATTTTATAACTGAAGGGTGCAAATAAATTAATAAAGAATTTATAATTTGATGTTTCTTTTAAAACTGAATCCAACCTTATCATCTGGAACAAAACAATTAAAAATTAACTTAAAATTATTTCTAGTTATGACTAATTAAAAAATTAAAAAGAAGAATGGATATTTCCAAATTTAGTATACCACGTGAACAGTAAAAGAACACTTTATTAATTTGAAAAAAGAAATATATAGCAATAAGTCAAATATTTTTAAGCATTTCGTTCATTTTATTTCATAGAGATTTAGCCTGATAAAAAAAGATAAATAAGATAAGTCTTTTTTTTAACATCTCTTGAATATAGTTTTGGTTACTTGCTCGAGCCGTATTCAAAGTGACGAAATAGAATAACTGCAAAGAAGAACAAAATTAACAGAAATTTTTAAAACAATAAAACTTTTCTTTATTATATGCAAAGTATAATGCATAAAAAAGTCTGCTAGACGAGAGCGCGTTGCTAAGAAACAGAGTCTCTTATAATTGGCGTTGCTACCAACAGCGCTTTTATTAATTCTTCTATCCAGCAAAATGTTTTTTTCAACGTGAAAGTTTGAATATTTAAGAGCAAAAAATGGAGGAAATGGAATTAGAAGAGCAGAATCAGGAGCAAACTGCACCTCCAGATGAAGAAGAAACTTTGATCAGGGAAGATCCAATGGAAATATCAGACCAGAGTGCCGCCGAATCAGGTAAAAAATTTTACAAAAATTAAATTCAAAGCGGCTGATCCTCTGCTGAAGCTGAGCAAATAGAGCCAGAGGACACATTTCCATCAGTAGTGGCAAAATTTAAAAACGTCCTTTCGATCGAGTTTCCTGCCGAGGCGGAGTTCTGCGAGCAGTCCTTGCAAGCCGTGCGCCAGTTTGCAGAGGGCGACGGCGCCAAAGCCATTTACGTTGGCGTGGCCCAGGAAAATAAGTTGTTCGCCTGTTTCGATAGTTCCGATGTTCGCGCCGCCAGTGCCGAGTCGATTGCAATTTTTATCAAAAGAGCAGAAGATCCGCTGACCGAGGAAAATTTTCTGACCCAAGTTGTGCATTTTTCCCTGCCGGCGATGAATTTGAAAGAAGGGGTTTTGTTTTTGCTGCAAGATTTGTTTGCAAAACAACTCGTTTTTGAAGACAAATCATGCCTGCCAGAATGTGAATATATAGTTTTATTCTAGAATTATTTGAGTTTAGTATTTTCCATTAGCATTGAAATCTGAGCTATGCGCAAAATTGAACTTATTCTTCATGATTGTGAACGAAGAAAAGTTCACTGACGAAAATCTGACTAAATTGTTCGTTCCTATGGAAAATTTGGATGAAATTTCTCCACGTTTAATAGGAATTTTGGAAGGTAACACGAAGAAAAATAAATTGGCTACGTTTAATTATTTTTAAATTGGAATTAGAAACGGTGTTAAGATGGCATGGAAAAATTAACGCCGAGGTCAGTTGCGAGGAGCTGCCTAGCAATCTTCCAAGAATTACAGACGTAATCACATTTTGGGAAAGAAAATGTAAAAAAATTATGCATGATTTATTAAATGCGTCTTTGTTTACTTAAATACAAAATTTTCTGATTTTGGTAGGCAAAAATTTCACTTTTTTGGAGGAGCAGCTGAACGGAGAAGATATTAAAAGAATCTTTGAAATTCTATTAGGCGCAAAATCGCATATGAGTAAGAAATTTGAAGATCTCATTGAGTTATTAAAAGTATGAACATTAAAGATTGAAATAAAATATAATAATTTCTTTGAATATTTATATTCAGTTTGCTAAAAACGAAGCTCTGCTCAACAAGGAGCAAATCAGCAAACTTCGAGGGCTAAATGAAAAGTTGGAAAAGTGCGTTTCATTTGAAGAAGCGAATCCTTTGGTCATTGAAATGCTTAAAAAAATTAGAGAAATACGCAAAAACTCGGAATACTTTAAAAATAAGTAAATTATTATTACTTTTTATTTTTTTTTCAATTAATAAAATAAATTTTATAAGTGAGAGAACTAGAAAGTTGCTGGCTAGCATTGGAAACCAAGTGATTGAAATTTGCAAACGCTCGGTCCGATTGAGATCCATTTTCAAAGGCAAACCTATTCTTGGCATAGAAAAGGTGCAAAAATGTATTGAAGACTGCGAAAACTTTGTAAAAATTTACCAACAGGTATAATTCAATTAAAAAATTTATACTGATTATAAAAAAAAGTTGAATTTTCCGTGTATAGCATTTTCAGAAAAAAATTAGAGTGGAACTGGGCGAGCCAAAAGAGATACTCCGAACGGTTTTTTCATTCATGTCCAGATGTCAAGATTTGCACCTTGTGTTCCAAGCCATGCATATTTTTGGAAGGTTGGAATTTATTTTTATTTTCGAAGAGACACTTGAAAGTTTTGCGCTAGAGTGAACGAGCAAAGGCACATTTCGTGCCCAAGATTTCCTGGAGCGAAAGGTCTATCGTACAGAGAGGTTTGTGAGAAGATCAGAAACGACACTTTAAAATGTGTGAAGGAAATCGAAAAAATACAAAATATTGCCTTGGACGTGACTTATTCCCCGTGGCGGGAGAATATGGACAAGTAAGCTTTTCAAACTAAATTGTTACTATTCTTTAAAATTAACTTCAAAATTAAATATTATTTAATGTGAAATTATATTAAAGGTTTAATCAGAAAACAGCCAGAGTAGAAAGAGAAGTAGTGGCTTTAGTGAATTCGGTGATGGAAGACGCGACAAACGTTTACGAGGCAGTGAACAACCTGCAGCAACTTCTTCATTACCTACAAAAACCATCCTTGCAAAATCTCTTGAAGGAAAAATCTAATGAGGTACATAAAAATTTAATAAGGAATGAAATCTTCAAATTTTTAATAGAATTTGCATAAATCAATATAGGGATTTTCTAAAAGCAGTAAAACTTCATACCACACCGCACCGTGCAATAAAATATCCGATAGTCTGAAAGGTTTTTCTTTCTTTTTTAAAAATAAATAAGGCTGAAAGTGTGTTAATATCAATCGAATCTTCAAAGCACCACAATCTTTGAAATAGCCGCGGATTGGTCTTAAATTTTTTTTATCTTAGATATAAAATTTCACCTTGCATGCTAGGGTTGAAAGGGTTGTGCATTAGCCCTTTGAATAAACTTTAATTAAAACAAAAAATTAAACTTATTTGGCTTGATTAAGCTATTATCGTTTGTAGTTACATGGTGTGCAAGAAAATCGGGAATATTTTTTTTAATGCTTGCAAAATTTCTGAGGATTTAAAAGCATTTTAAATTAAGTGCAAAATGAATTACTTTTGTTTCAGTTAATTAATTAAAAAATACTGCTGCGGTGTATCATAAATATTGGTCTTATTTTTCAATTTATTACAACTAATTTTTTTAATTTCAATATTCTTTAATCCTTTCATTTTTCAAAATTATAATAATAATGCATTTGGATTCAAGCTATACTGCGAATTTTTAAATTATGAAGAAGACAGCAGAACTCTTTAGCAGTATTAATACTCCAAATAGAACATCATGATATGAAAGTCAATAAATTATATATTTTTCAAACAACTTACTGTTAAAGATTTAAAATTCAATAAATGTAAGAGAATTTGCGCATCTATACAACATAATAAGAAAAAAATAAATTATTAAAATAATTAAATGTTAATTTTTATTAAATTGAAATAAAGTAAAACATAATAAATGTTTAAGACCTTAATTTTAATTGCAAGGTGTCTTTATTAATGTTATTTAAGAAAAGCTAAATTATTTATAAATTTTTAATGAATTAAATTTAAGCCATTCATCCAAGGTCAAATGCTCTCCCCTTTCAAAAGTGCTGGATTATTGGAAAAATTAAAATTCCTTAAGCCCAGCATGTGACTTCAAATATAGAAATCTCTATTTTGGTTATAAGTTTTGAAACATCTACAGCAATTAAATGCTTGTAAAATTGTGGTGTTTTCAAATCTTCCATGATCGTCTGATATTCATATTTACACACTTTTAGCCTGTTTTGGTAGCTGTGCCATTTGTTTCACAAGAAATGTCATTCTTAAAAATCATACAATGTATCATTACTTTTAAATTCACCACACTGACAAATAGTATAATTCAAATGAACTATTTTATTAACTAATGAGCCATGGTATTTTTTGTAATAGAAAAATAAGTATTATTGTTACTTGTTACATTGAAGGAAATTAGTTTTAGGGGGTGAAGGAGGGACATTGATTTGTTGGTAAAATGAGAAAATAATACATGAACGCTGAGCAAAGATTTTTCTGAGTACATTTTTAAAATTAAGAAGGCTCAATTCGCCGCAGCTCATTAAAATCTTGATTTAAAATTTTTTAAGGTTTTCGGGCTGCTGCTTCGGGATATGGAAAAGTCAAGCAAGTCACTAATTGGCGGCGAAGTAATCGGCTATTCAGGATATCCACCTTATTCCGGGATTGCACTCGCGACCCACAATAGCAGGAGCTATTTAGTTGGACAAATGCTGGTTCAAGCAACAATTTTGCCTTAATTTTTTTCTTAAAATTTAATTCACAGATCGTGGAGGAGTGCAAATTTTTGGTCGAGTGCGAAAACGCCAAGAAAGCCAGGCAAGAATTGGCCTTTTACGTGACTGTCGTCGATGAGACGATTCAAGAGTTTTTCGACCAATGGGTGGTTGATTTGCCGGTCGACTGGGAGTCGCGATTAAAACGTCCACTTATTGCACGTCACCCTAGCTATGAGTATTTGCTGGAACCAACCGTTGGAAAGTAAAAATAATAATATAAAATAAATATTCCAATATAATTTTTTTAAATTATTCAAGCAATATACTGGAAACTTTGGAGGAAATTCGAATTTGGAAAAGTTTGGGCTATGAAGTGCCAGAGTCGATGCAAAAGTTGTACTCACTTGAGGACAAAGTGGGTGGATTGAAGGACGACGTGCAAATTATATGCCACCAATTCAACGAAGCTATTGGAGGTTTGAAATTAATTTTCTTGTAAAAAATAATGGA